AAGTCCATGAAAAAACAAGAGGAAAATATTTGAAAGGTAGGCTGGATACAGATAGCAGAAAGCCTTGAACACCAAATTAAGGAGTTTGGACTTTGTTTTGTGAGCAATAGGGAGACCCTGAAAAGTTGTTTGTTTTCTTTTCACCCCGGTGGGCTGCCGATAAGAGATATTCACTGACACTGCAAAGGTGGCTATGGCAATGGTGTACAGGCAGGAGCAGGGAGGGAAAAACATCCAGGTGTGAGGCAATGGGGGCCTGAATGAGGACTGTGGGAATGCAGAGGAGGGAGGAAATGCAAAGTATGTTCTGGGTAGATAGAATCAAAATGACTCTGGTTACTGATGGATGAGAAAGGGAGGGAGGGAGGATTCGGAGATAACTCCAAGGCACGGTTTATCATCGCCTCCACCTCCTCATCACCCACTCACTCCACAGTCCCTCCTCATTTGGCTTCCTTTCTGACCACTCTCCTTTAACTGTTCTCTCAGACGTCACCAACAACCTTCTGATTAGCTCTTCTCAGGCCCTGTCCCGCTCAGCCTCTGAGCGGCACGTCCATGCTGGACCATGTCCCTTACATCTGGAGACTCTGCTCCCTTTACCCCTGCCCCTCCTCAATCTCCTTTAACTTTCCAACCATCCTTTCTTGGTCTCTCCTTGTGGATCCCTTTTCTGCAGCCTGCTCCTTTATGCACAAGATCTGTCTTCAGCCTTCTCCTCCTCTCTCTCTTCTCCCCAAGGCTTCAAACCAGCATCTATTAGAATGCATTCAGCACCCAACAGTCTACTTAACAGCAGACCTATATTTCTAACTGCCTATAGGACATATCTACTCGAATGCACTGCCAGCACCTAAAACTTATCCTAAGGAAAGAGCTCTTGGTGGGGTGGGGGGCAGGGGCAGAATATGATTTTTCTCCCTCTGCCTTCAGTTCTATAATGACACCAAGGGACTCATTTAAGAAATTAAGTTGCCCAGGGAATAGGGATAGGCAAAACTATAGGCAGAATTCTAGTGTGGATAAGGCAGACACAGTTCTTCCCAGGATGGCGTGTGTGTGTGTGCGTGTGTGTAGATAGAGAGCAAGAAGCTGGGAAAGAGGAAAGAAAGAAGGAAGAAGAACATGGAATGAGGCGGGGTAGAGGGAGAGAGATCTCCCACAATGAGTTTGAAATACTTCTTAGTAATCATTCCCATCACTTGAATGGGCCAAAGACACAAAGACAAAGCAAGAGTCAGAAGTACCAAGCCCAAGACTTGGCATTGACCTTTTTACCTGCTTGACCTTGAGTTAACAAGTTACTTTATTAATTTGAGCCTCCCTTAGGTGACCCCAAAGTTCCCTTCCTTGGGTAAAGGCAGGGCTCAGGTAGAACGAGAAATGACTAATATATAAATAAAAGACATCAATGATACTTATTTTATTTTTTTTTAATTTAAAAAAAATATTTTTTAGGCAATTGGGGTTAAGTGACTTGCCCAGGGTCACACAGCTAGTAAGTGTCAAGTGTTTGGTCTAAGGCTGGATTTGAACTCAGGTCCTCCTGACTTCAGGGCCGGCGCTCCATCCACTGTGCCACCTAGCTGCCCCCAATAATACTTACTTAAAGGAGAAAAATCATGACAAAAGTTCCTTTGCTTACATCACCTCCAATACAAATTTTCTATGTCCATTATTATTTTGAAATATTGATAAATACTAGCTAATGCAACTTCCCTTTCACTCAGTTCCCTCATCTTTAAAAATACACGTTCTGTTTTCAATCCCAAACTCCCTTAGAGGAAAAAGCAGAGTAAGAATTTCCATAAAGTGTCTTCTGGAAGGTACCAGTCAAAAATATAGCCTATTATTCATCTTCAAACCTTAGTAATATTTCATGTGCCTTTAAAGTATTGTAGCCAGAATCAATCAACAACCATTTGCTCAAAAGGAGCTCACAACCAAGCAAATTCCACAGATGAGAAAAAGAAACCTCCTGAGACCTTGAAAGGTAGCCCCTCCTCAATATCCATATAATTTTTCTTAAGACTCAATTATCACTGCTATCCAACATCCATTACCATGTATCTGGAGAGAAAGGGTCAAAATGATGACAAGTTTCATTTTGGATAGAAAAAAGCACCAAAAAAAACCCAAACACTTTTTTCCCACCCATATCTTATTTTTACACAGTGCCCCACATGACATCACAGGAAGTTGAGGAATTTATAGCTTCAAAAATGAGTTAAAAGGGACTACTTTAAATTATCCTTTACAAGAAAAAAATGCTGCTAAAAGATTCCATCACCCATCCCTTTCTCTACCACCTTCCCCACTCCTTCAAAAGTCATCCAGGTTAGGTCTGGGGTGCCAGCCTTCCCTATGTAAAGATCTTGACTTACTCTAGCCACATCCCTTTGCAATTTTTAAAAGAGATCTCTCTAAATGTATTCTTTTTTTTTGCCTAAATGCATTCTTGTAGAAGAAGTCCCCATTGACAACAGATCCAGAGCCTTAGAACTACAAACACAAATAGATGGTTCAATCTCTGCTTTTCTGCAATTTCCACAAAAACAAGGCATAGAGAAGACAAGTAACAACAGCAAACATTTCTATGTCATTCTGAAGTTTGCAAAGCACTTTCCATAGAATGAATTGATTCCAGTTCCCAGACTAACCTCAAAACTGTGCTAGGTTATTTCAGGTATCCTTATCCTCACTTTACAGATCAGGAAGCAAAGTATCAAATAGATATCCAAGTCCAGTACATACATACACACACACACACACACATATATATGTACATATGTATATAGGTGGCAGAGTGAATACTGCTACACTTAGGAAGAGCTGAGTTCAAATTCTGCCTCAGACACTTACTAGCTATGTAAGTCACTCAACTTCCTTTAGACTCAGTTTCCTCATCTTTAAAATAGGGTACAAATAACACTTATTTTCATAGACTTGTTGTGAGGATCAAATAAGATAATATGTAAAGTGCTCTGTAAGAGATCAAAGAAAAGGGGAAAAGATCTATCTGTACAAAAATATTTATAATAGCTCTTTCTGTGGTAGCAAAGAATTGGAAGTTGGGAAGGATGTTCATCAACCAGAAAATGGCTCAACAAGTTGTTGTATGTGATTGTGATGGAATATTATTGTGCTATAAGAAATGATGAGCAGGATGGTTTCAGAAAAACCTGGGAAGACTTATATGAACTGATGCAAAGTGAAGTGAGCAGAACCAGGAGAATGTTGCACATAGTAACAACAAATAATATACTATAAGGATGATCAACTGTGAAAGACCTAGCTACTCTGATCAAGCAATGATCCAATACAATTCCAAAGGACCCATGATGAAAAATGCTATCCACTTCCAGAGAAAGAACTGATGAGCTCTGAGTGCAGATTGAAGTATACTTTTTTTTTGCATAATTGGGAAATATCTAACAAAATAAGTATATATATATATATATGTATATATATGTATATATATGTATATATATATAAAATTAAATGCTTTGCAAATCTTAAAAGTGCTACATAAATGCTAACTATTGCTAGCTATAATTACTCATATTAACACCATTACAAAGGTTTGCTTAGGAGTAAATATTCATATATATATAAGTTTTAAGGGAAAACAACATGTCAGACAACCTGATCCAGATTCTGACTGTATTGTAAAATACTTCAGTGAATGTTACTAATAGGGGAATTGCTAAAAGTCCTACTCTGATGCTTTATCCCAGCCTAGAGATGCTTCATGCCACACCGGGTGCTTGATGGTCATTCCTGTATGACCTTTGGATTGAGAAAGGCTCTCTGAACTTGGGCTGCACTGCTGAAACTCTATGGGTTGAAAGAAGTCCAGCCCAGTCAGTTTCAGAGACAACACCAAAAGGCCTTTGTTTGGGCTCCCAGTGGAGTGAGTACTCTTCTTTGCCTTCAGGAATCACGGCACACTACAGGGAACATGCATGTATGAAAACACATCCTTTTCCCAGCTAGTACAGAGACAAGGACATTTTCTGAGGGTAAAATAAAGTGTTAAAAGGTTTAAAAAATGTTGAAATGAAAAAAAGTTAAAAACATCAAATTTAGGTACTTCTGTCATTTTTATCCTCAGTAGAATGAGTGGTTGGGCAAAATGCCAGAGACAGCTAGGTGGAGCAGGACAGACCTGGATTCAAGAAGACTCGAGTTCAAATTTGCCCTAAACACTTACTAACTGTGTAACCCTAGGCAAGTCACTCAACCTCTGTTTGCCTCAGTTTCCTCAACTTTAAAATGA